TTTTGATTGCCATAGGATAAGTACTTTTTTGCCACATTTCCGTTTTTATCAAAGGTAGCTGCAATTTGTTTGGATATCTAGTGGTAAACTTACGAGGAATATCATCATAACGTTCAAAAAAGTGCGGATTATTCCTAACGAAAACACATATTTCATAAATGTATAAGCAAGGGACCGTTAGTATTTTTAAGATTTTAAAAAGTGGTCTACAAGATACTATTTTTTTTTACGTCACATATGGCTCGAATGCATGATTTTTGTGCAATTAATGCTTTATTTATATTACAAGAATTTCCCCATATTATAATACCGTATCTCAATATTGAGTCTACGTGTCCATAGTAAGCCATAAGAGCAGTTTCTTTGTTTGAAATCTTAGCAAGCTTCCACAAGGCATATGTGAAAGGATTTATTTTTTTACATATTTTGTCTATATGGTCTTTCCAAGTCAAATGTTTATCTATAATTAAACCTAAAAATTTTACACTATTTTTTTCCTCCACTATTTGGTTGTCATATGATATTTTAATATCTTTTTTTTTACCATTTCTATTAACAAATTGTATATATTCTGTTTTAGATAAATTCACTTTGAGATTATTTTCTTTTGGCCAAGTTACTAAAGCTTCTAGTGTTTTATTTACTTCTATATTATAGTCATTATTTTTATTATTTGGTATAGCAACAGATACGTCATCGGCAAATAATATGCATGGGTAATTTGTCACATTTGGGAGATCGTTAATGTACAATAAAAATAGCAATGGCCCAAGTATACTGCCTTGTGGCACTCCAGACACAATTTCTTTTTTATTAGACTTATAGTAAACTTCAGTTTTATTTTGATCTAGGCTACATATTTCTACATATTGTATTCTGTTTCTTAAGTATGATTCAATCCACTTATTTGCTACACCTCTTATACCGTAAATGTCACATTTGTTCAACAATAATTCATGTGAAACTCGGTCAAAAGCTTTGCTCATATCAAAGAATATTGTGGTTATCGGGATGGACTTATTTGTGTATTCTAATGCAGGGCTTCCCAAACTTATTTGTACTGTGACTCCCTTGGGTCTTTGCCATTTTTTTAAGACGCCCCTCAACGCAGTCCCCAAAAATACTAACCAGTTTTTGTATGTACTAACCTAGTAACAGGTTATCAGGAAGACACGTTGACTTTTATATTTTTTTATAAATGAAAACAAATCCAAAACATAAGTCATAAGCATAAAAAAGAGATGTAACTAACTGGCTGGCTCTAATGAGATGGATGTGCTTGCTTTTCTGAGCATAGTTTCTTAAAACGAAGCTCCAGTTTAGTAAGCCCAGTCGTATTGCTCCAAATTATCGGAAAAATATTTTTCAAAGTGTTCGCTTAGTGATATGTAAATATTATTTTTAAGGAAGGATCAAGGATTTTTATCAATTATTCTAGTAGAATACTTTGTCAAGCAAGAAAACAGTCAATTACTTGATCTTCTAATTTTCTCTTCCATAAGTGTAACTTCTTCTGAAACCCAGTAATTTTATCTGCCAATTGCAGAATGTGAGTAATGTTTCCCTGCAAACACTTATTAAGATCATTTAATTTGTTAAATACGTCACATATGTCCGCGTTCGCGTCGCGTTGACAGTATGCATGCGGCGATCACTTGACTTAGTCGCATCGATATATCAACACGCGACGCCCTTGGGCCATTGCCGCGACGCCCCAGGGCGTCGCGACGCACAGTTAGGGAAGCCCTGTTCTAATGTATGTTTTATTAATGAAAATATTGCTAAGCTAGTGGATTTCCTCTTTTGAAATCCATTTTGCTCGCTTTTTATTATATTGTGTTTGTTTATAAAATTTGCTATTCGTATATACATGGCTTTTTCTATTATTTTAGACCAGATACTTAAAAGTGCAATAGGTCTGCAATTATCTAAATTTGTAGGGTCGCCTTTGTAAAAAATTGGTTTTTCTACAGTTGTCTTTAATATTTGTGGGAATTTGCCTGACATGTATGATAAATTTATTAAATAGCATAATATCTCTGCTATTTCATCATTTACTTTTTTAATTATTTTGGTTGAAATTTCATCATATCCGGTTGAATTTGTCAATTTGAGAGAATTTATGATTTTTTTTGTTTCGTATATGTCAACTAGTACTAGAAATATGCTAAAGTTATTTAGTTTCATATTTTTATTATTCGTGATTGTAATTTTATTGTCATTTAAATTTGTCAGATTTACAAAGTGATTATTGAAACAATTTGCAATGTCAACAGCCATCGATAGCAAGACGAACTACAATAAGTTTCAACAGCAAGTAACGAGATGGCGCTGTACCAATACAAACAGCATAAATTAATAACTACAAGACACTTAGAACAAAGAAACCTACATCACACAGAATAAGTTTAATTACCAATTAACATAAATAGAACGTCCAACCTACATCGGTAGGACCGAGGTCCCCGGGCTAACAACACCTAGCTCGGAGGGAGACAATTATCCTTTAGTCTCCCTGGCCAGTTGTCTCCATCACCACACTAGGAACCCAACACCTTCAACCTTACGGTTCCTAAAGTGGTGACTCCAGCAGAACATCAGCAACCTTCAGCATCACAACGCAGCCATAACTCTTCATCAACAGCCTCTCACCCCTTCATCATCAGCCTCTCATCCCTCATCAGCACAGCCACTTCAGCAGCAAGCCAGCCAACACCAAGGTCCATCACAGCAGCATCGACGACGCTTCCTGGATTCTTGGCACCACTCGACGGCATCATCCCGACCTGGTCCTCGCAGGCCACGACTGGACCTCAGTTCACACACAACTCACCGGCGTGGCAGCCCTGCACACCAGCAGCTTCTGTCCCGACGTCATAACCTGGCACTTGCAAGCTCTGAAGCACTGACTGCATATCACCTACTATCAACATGGATCGACCTTCGGTCTAGGGGGAAAGTACTGTGGCGACTGATACATAGCGACATCTAATTCATCGCAGTAACATCGCCACAACAATCGATAGACTAGCATCGTCACAGCCATCGATAGCAAGACAAACTACAATAAGTTTCAACAGCAAGTAACGAGATGGCGCTGTACCAATACAAACAGCATAAATTAATAACTACAAGACACTTAGAACAAAGAAACCTACATCACACAGAATAAGTTTAATTACCAATTAACATAAATAGAACGTCCAACCTACATCGGTTGGACCACGGTCCCCGGGCTAACAACACCTAGCTCGGAGGGAGACAATTATCCTTTAGTCTCCCTGGCCTTTTTTCTAGTTGTCTCCTTCACCACAATAGGGGCCAGTTGTCTCCTTCACCACAATAGGGACTCCAACCTCCAACCTTTGGGTTCCTAAACATTTTTATAATTTATTTGTTTTATGTCTGTTTTTCGATTTATTAGTCCATTTTTATTGTTTATTAAATTCCATGAAGCTTTAGTTTTATTTTTTGAAATTGAAATATATCTTTCGTTTGTTATTTTTTGTCATTTTTTTTAGAAGTTTATTGTAACGTAGATAGCTAATCTTATTGTTGTTGTTTGGTTGCTTATAGAATTTAAATCTTAGTGCTCTTTTCCTAATTGTCGCTTTTCTTATACCTACTGTTATCCAACACGGCTTTTTTGCACTGTATTATTTATTTTTCGAATAATAGGGAAGCATAATTCATATAATAGTTTAAAATTTTCATGAAATATATTAAATGTATTATCTAAATTTTTTTCTTCGTATTCAGACCATTTTAATGATTGCATACATTCTTTAAACTTGTCAATGTTTTCGCGGCTTAAATCTCGTCTAAGTTGAAACCAGATTTCAGGTTGTTGTACTGTATGGACCACGTTGAATGTAATTGATTGTGCTGTGTCATGATCAGACAAACCCAAGTTATGTATATATCCCGTGGCTTCGGGTATATTACTGATTATTTGATCTAAACAGGCATTTTTTCTTGTAGGCTCTTTAATATGTAATTTTAAGTTAAAATTTGATACAAGCTTAAATAGTTCGTATGATTGATTTGAATCTTTTAATGTATTTATGTTTAAGTCGCCAGCAATAATTATTTTATATTTAGTTTTATATCGGAGCTTACACAGCAAATCTTCTAAATTATTAAAAATGTTTCTGGCTTAGAGGTTGGTGTGCGATATATACAATAATTTTTTTATTATACTTATTCTTTCATTTCAAATAGAATAAAACTCGTCAATTGGATAGTTGATTTACCCAGTTGTTTGTTTCCAGTTTGTTTGATTTCTCTAAACTAATAAAAATGGGGAAAGAAAAAATAACAACATTTGCCAAAAGTGGAAAAGTAGGTATAACGACAATAGTATATACAGTGTGTCTGAACACCGGTGTCCAGATACACTGTATATACTTTTGTCGTGATATTCTTTCTACTTGGATTTTTAAAGGGGTCATATTCAATTAGTCACAACTTCTAAGCTATTCTACTTGGTGCTTTGTTTATTGAATCAGTGTTTAGGTAATGTCATCGGGTGTATAAAAAGTCTAAAAAAAAAGTTTCTTGACAATTTAGCTTTTTTGAAAATAAATCAAATCTAAAAAACACAACTAAATTCCGTCAGACTTTTTAAGTTTCAAGCATTTTTTAGAGGTTTTTTAAGGGAGTTATGAAAATATTTTTTATGTCACCTCATTGTCTACTTTTGTGGCTGTCTAATGATGATAGATTTATGTCTGTAGGATCTCTATATCGGCAGATATTGCAAACTAAATAAACCCACCCGCACTCCGAGAAAAAATAAATTAAAATGGCCGCCATTTTAAAACTAATAGGGCAAAATACCTAGTTATGGTGAATTTATTTATAAAATTATTATATTACTTGGCCCTAATGGGTCGCACACGGTGTTCAGACACACACACACACACACTACGCTGTCGATACTTTTGCGGATCCTACCCTCCTCCCTATCGATTTTACTGTCACCAAAGAGAAAAAGTATTGAGAGATACTGTCATGAATCTGTCATGTTAGTTCTGTGTGATTTTTATCGGCCCGGTTGGATTATTTTTCAGGTTTTGAAATATTTTACTATAAATACCTACCAAACTAAATTGTAGTAAATTCAATAAATGATGGAAATGTTATATTTATTTTGTTCTATAATATTTCAAGCATTACTGGTTGGCATATTTTTTCTCATGATGGTGAGTTTACCTTAATGTGCACAACATTCACAAAACCCGAAAAAACTCTAAAATTGATATGCCCACGTCAGCATGTGATGAGTAACTCTGTATTCTTGATTTAGTTTTACAATTATAAATACCAATGATGAACAAACTTGAAAGCAATCTGTTACAGAACTGCCATTACATTAACAGGACAATTAATACTCTTCCCTCATGAAAAGGAAATAAAACCAAATATTATTAAGATATGTAATAATTCTTAATCATTGCTATTCACAATAATGAGTGAACTTTTAAACTATCGTATTGCATTATCGAATATGTCTAATACCTGGTAATGATATAAATACTTATTATTATTTATTTTTTATTATAATAGTTAGTATTTTTTTAATACTATCTGTATATACATAGTAATTTTCTTTTCATATAATATTACATAAAACTAATTTGTTGATTGAAATACTTATACACACAATCAAATTTTTTATATCAAGAAGCAAACTTTAATCACTGCTCAATAACAATATAAACTTATAATACATGCAATAATGACTAATACTGAGGATACCTGTTATAAAAATTAAATAACCATGAAGACTGGAAAACACCTTATATATTTTTAAAATAAAAATATTGTAAATTTTATCTATATTATTGCTCCATCAATTTACTTTTCCTTCAAGATTAATAGGCAGGTCAAAAACTTGCATGAATATAAGACTGACAAAAATAAAAATTATTATTGGAAAAAAATATATTGTCACAATGTAAACTATCAAATTTGGTATGTGATACTAAAATACATAATAATCATATCTTGCATTTATTTTCTTTAACTTAACTAGGTTTAATGACTCCTTTAGCTGTAATGAATGTCATTTTTTTCTATTTTACTGAATTTTTGTGCAACTGGCAGTTAGTAAAGTAAACAAAATGGCAGTGTCTTAGTGTCTTATTAAGCATATTTATTACATACAATAATAATGTTTATGTTTTAAATTTGCAGATATCAGTAGTAATTTATCTAACGACTAATCCTTATGCGGCAATTGAACGTTTCCAAGATGAAGAATTTTACAAAGTCCCCCAAACCAAAGCCAAAATAAAGTTTCCAAGTATTGATGATCCTCAGAGTATAAACTTAAGCATCATAGTACCAGCATACAATGAAGAAGAAAGATGTAAGTTATTATGGTATATTTATTTGGTATTCAGTCAGTTGAACAAACATCCATTAAGGTTTAATGACGCCTTTAAGCTCTAATTAATGTCAAAATTGTATAGGTAATGTTGCTTTAAAGTAAAGAAATTTTTAGTAGCTGTTTGTGCAACTGGCTGATTGTTGGGTAAAATATTTATTTATTTATATTATATTTATTAATTATATTATATTTATATAACAATAGTATTTTGTATGGCCACTCCATACTATAATTGACATTCTCAGTAATATTTGCAAAATAGAGGTATATTATTCAGTTTGGTTCGTCCAGTTAACCAAAGTTACACTATTTCTACTTGAGTTTACTGGAATTATGTTTTAATTGTGTAGACAGATGTATAGCCCCATATATTATTCATATATGTTTCCTTTTGGATCAATGAAATACCTCATTCTTCTCTATAGTAATTGCAGTTTTATAGAATAAAAATAGGTTTTTAAAATTGCATGGACATTGTTTAGAAGTAAAAATAACAGGTACCTACTAAAATTTTATATCAACAATGTTTTAAAAACACATAGGTAGTTATGATTGATTTATCTCTGGATAGTAGCTTCTTATGGTTGACAAAGATTTTTTATGAAGGTAAAAAAGGGACGCTTAACTGACCTTCAGTTAAGTGTCTCTTTTTTACATTGTTACCTCTAAATCCAGCCAAATAATTAAAGCTTTGTTTATTTAACAGTGCCAGCAATGTTAGATGAATCTATTCAATTCCTTGAAAATAGATCAAGACTGTATCCAACCTACAAATATGAAATAATAATTGTCAGTGATGGCAGCAAAGATAAAACAGTGAATGTAGCTGAAAGTTATGTAGAGAAGTTTGGAACTGAGAAGATAAGATGTTTGGAACTAATCAAAAATAGGGGGAAGGGGGGAGCGGTGCAGCTGGTGAGTGGCCTGCAGAACACACAGGACCCACTGTGCATAATGTGAGTTTTATATCTTGTGTAGTTGTTATAATTTCGTTTTGTAGTTAGACAATCTTGTTTGATAATTATGTTTGTGTGAAAACACTATTAAAGTAGTCAGCAATTAAAATTATTTTAGATAAAATATTTTTGTTAGTGCAATTATATAGATATTGAAAAACTCGCATTAACACTGTGGCATTTTCATGCAACAGTACCTAAATATTTTGTAATATGATAATGTCTTTAAATGTGAGGCATCAAAATACACAGATTGTAATACAGATTAATTAGCCATTGCCATTGTAAAGCGCATGTTTATTGGTTGATGGTACCTGAATGGTACCTTTTGATTAAAAAAATCTTTGAATAACGGTCTACATTTGGACGAGAAATCTATGAATGTATTAAAATATAGATTTCAGCCTTCCTTTTGATTTGAAGTCGAAGTTATAATTGTATCTCAATTATTCATATTTGAAAATGTCATAAATTGGAAACCTATGTTACCTTTTATTAACAAAACGATTGTAAAAAAAAAAAACTGGAAAGAATGGGACACTGCATGGTGTAAACACTGCATTGCAGCAACAAACGCCCATCTCCAATGAGTTAGAAGAACTTGCCTCTGTATATATGTATTTGTAGATCAGAGGCTGTATGTCAAAGCAATTTTGAAATAAGAATGATTTTATATAATAATAACCTGTTTCATTACCAGGGTGTTCAAAGTTCTAGAGGATCTTTAATTTTATTTGCTGATGCTGATGGAGCTTCTAAATTTGAAGATTTAAAAAAACTTGAAGGAGCATTAGAAGAAATGGTGAAATATGATATTTTTAAAGAACCAAGTGAAATAGAAAATTGCTGTGCCATTGCTATTGGATCAAGAGCACATCTAGAAAAGGAGTCTTTAGCAAAAAGAAGTATTTTTAGGTACCTATGAATAGCTTAGTAAAATTTATAATTCGGCAAATTATTTTGCTGGATATATTTAACAGTGTTACCATGGGAATAAAAATTAATACTGAAATAAAAAAAAGCCGTATTAAGTGCAAAGACATTTACATATATTGTTCAGGTTACTTCACATTGACGTACTACAAAACAATTTTTATGGATGAATTTATGCCTCAAGTAGTAAGATAAACTAGACTAGACTAAATTTAGGTTTATTCCCGAGAAATTGCGTTTTCAATTTTGAAATTGAACAAAAGTAAACTTTGGTATTATATGATAGTATATTTATTTATCTTAAACTTCACCATGTATCACCTGAAACTGCTGAATAAACATCACGTGATTTATGAACGGCTCCGAATTGATATACATATGTCTGGCGACATAAGACTCAAGCGCGGATCAAGCGTTATGAACTGTTAATTTTGAGCACTACCTGTAATGCATTAAGTTTTAAAATTAAATGTAGTTATTTGATAGTCTTATATAACCTCACTTGTGTCGATTGTACATCCGACTCACACTTGACGGTTTCCATTTTTACGGATTAATTAATAACGCAGAAAAATTAACTAAAAGAATCTTTTGTCTTCAGGAATATACTAATGTTTGGGTTCCATTTCCTGGTTTGGCTTTTCACTGTAAAAGGTATAAAAGACACACAATGTGGTTTTAAACTGTTCACGCGAAGTTCCGCACGCATTTGCTTCAAAAATCTCCACGTGAATAGATGGTAAGAATATTTCTTTTCTCGTTTTCTCATTTCTTTTGATCACCTGTTGATTATTATCAAATTTAAATCATTTTGAATCTTTTAAAGGGCCTTTGACGTCGAGCTGCTTTATATTGCACAAAAACTAAACATTCCAATATCAGAAATTCCAGTAAGATGGACAGAAATAGATGGTTCTAAAGTGACGCCTGTTTTATCATGGATCCAAATGGGCTGGGATCTTGGACTGATTTGGCTAAAATATACTATAGGTGCTTGGAAAATAAAAAGTGATAAAACAAATTAGGCATACGTCTTGTATAATAAGTGTACTTACTATTTAATTAACAAATTTAGCTATTACAGCTGCTTTTCAATTTTCATTTGAATATTAGCGTTTATGTGAATAGTCAAATGAATAATGATAGATACTTACATATACGATAAATATAAGAGACTATGACGAAATATATCTATACTTTATGAACACATTGTTTTTATTACATTATCTAAAAAAATACACATTGTTTTTATTACATTATCTAAAAAAATTTGAAGCACTCGCAAGAACCTAAATAGCTAAATAGGGTAAAAAACGTTATATATTCATCTTTTTATTACTCATAAATCTATCACTTATAAACGCGCAGATTGCGTCGACGCTGGATAAAATAAGTAGGTATGGGTGATTCTCAGTTAAGAGGTAATTTCGGCGGCGGAGCTTAAAATGTACACTTTCTTCTAAAATTTGTGGGAAAGAACGCATTAATCTCGTAAAATACTGCACCTACTATATTGGCAGCCAATTTTATTACTAAAATCGACATAGTTTTCTAACAATCGTATCTTAAATGACAAAATAGTCTCTACCCTGGCATGTCCCTTTTCCAATTTCTCAGTTTGTCATCCGTTCAAATAATAGTATAGCCAATGTATACTTCCATTTTAATAAGTTATAGAAACAAAAATAAACAACAAATAACATCGTATTATCGAAACAATACTAAACGTAAATTTTAATGTAAAAAAATGAACACAAAATTTGTCCCTCTCATTTTGACTCTCCTCCCTGCCTCTTTTAAAATTTGCAAAATATTCAAACGGTTAAACTTTTCCGCGCGTAATCCGGTATACACACGTTCATTTGAGTGTGAAGTAGCAACAAACGACGCGGGAACGAACGGACAGCGCTCATTGGTTGTCAGTTGAGTCACGCAACTCGGCAAGAACGAACGTGTTTCGAGAAGGCGTTATCTACCCTGGTAAGTTTTATTTAGTGTTTGATTAGTTGTAACAGTTTATTTAGTATTCATTCTTGTATGAATTTATGCATGCTTTCCTGTGACCCTTTGATATTTCGGAAAATTCAGTACTTTTACGATGAAATATTCCTTTTTTGAAGAAAAACTATCTCCCCTGCCTTATCTCCCCTGGCAAATCAAGTGCCAGGGGATATAACTCATGCCCAGGGGAGATAATGTAAATATCAAATACAGTTTTAAACGATCTTACATCACTATCCTATTGAAAATATGTGTCCATTATATGAAATATGAGGCCGGTGCCGAATTTTTGATATTATATTTTGATAAATTGATATCATAAATAAATCTTTGTAGATCATGGCACCTCGAAAAAAAATATCAAGAGAAGAACGTCTCGAAAAAAAAAAGGATTGCAGAGAGGTTACGTTACCGAACAATAAAAAACGATCCCGACAAGTACGCCCAGCAAAAAGAAAAAGAAAAATAGAAGTATAAAAGTAAAAAGAAAAATTAAAACTGTACATAAAATGACACCAAGGGAACATCGGAAAGCTAAACAGTTATGGCGTAAAAAGTATCATCAGAAACGAAAACTTCGTGTAGCTGCTCAAGTTGAAGTGACTTCTTACACTGATAATGAAGAGAGGCAGAATCAAACTACAAGCAACTCAAAAAAAAAACACAAGAAGCAGTACTAAGGTCGGCGCGTGCCAGAAGGGCTAGGAATTTACTGATTCAAAAGCAGGCACAAAAAATTAACCAACTTCGAAAGACTGTAGAAAAATACAAAAAACATGCAAGCAGACTGAAAAATAAAATGGAAAGAAAAGAAAACCAAGACCTTACACCAAACAGAAAAGTAAACGAACTTATTGAGTCTCCAACAACGGCAAGAGAGACAATAAAGAAGAAGCTTTTGTTTGGAGAAGTTATTTCGCAGCAGTTCAAACAAAATTACGCAAATCTTGAAACACAGAAAGAAAAGAGGCTATTCCAAAGTTATAAGTGGTGAACTAGTGACAAAGTATGGAATTTTACGAAACGAAAAAAATATCAAACCATTGAAGAAGAAAACCAAACTGCTGAAACTAACTGATCAAAAACGTCAGGCCCGAAAAAGATGTTTGAATTTGAAGAAAGGAATCGCAAGTTTTATGGAGGACGACACTAATAGCAGTGTTTGCGCTGGAAAGAGAGATTTTATAGTCAGACCAGGCGAACGCAAGCAAAAGCGTGTAATGCTGGATACCTTACTAAACTAGCACAAAAGATTCGTGCAAAAGACCGGAACGAGTGTTTCCTATGCGGTATTTTGTAAGTTTCGACCGTATTGGGTAATCCAGCCACGATGCGACAAACACGACACTTGCTTGTGTACACCACATGCGAACATCAACCTTATCTTAAAATGCCTCTACCATGCAAAAATAACATCTGTGTCCAACCATGTTGGTCTCCTCGATATGCTTTGCTGTAATAGATTCGACGAAAAGTGCCTGTCAAAAGAGTGCGACAGATGCAATATAATGCTTTACATTACAAAGAGTTTGACAATTCGTTTACTGTAGTATATCAAAAATGCCAAACCTTACCTCAAAACTTCATTGATCCCAAAACCAAAGGTATCTGCAGAGTAAATAAATGTACAAAAAGCTTAATAGGCATAAAGCCACGTGACCTAATATGGGAAGAAAAACTGGACCAGTTTCTTCGTCATGAGATCAACATAGTTCATCCATACAAAGCCTTGAAATTAAAAAAGGAAACCCTAAAACTATCAACTGTATATTATAAATACAGTTGATTGATGAGAAAAAAAATCACGTTTTATTTAACAAAATACTAAGCTGATTTCCCTCCCCTGGCCACATTTTATCCTACCCTGGCTTACTTCTCCCTCCCCTGGATGGAGTATCTCCCCTGGCCTCTTATAAAACATTGAAAAGTGGATTATTTGACTGGCCATCACACAAGTATGCATAAATTAGTTGTTTTAATAGACTAGTACTGAAAAACGCTGATTTGTGTAACATTTTAGTGTCGCCGCAGCTTCCATACAACGTTTGACCTCTTAACTAAGAATCACCCGTATATGTCGTGGCCAGATCGTAGAATTGATCGTTTCGTGATCCGACCGGCCATATATTTTTATTATCCACTACAGCTAGTTCAAAATCTTGTCTTTCTCATAATGCCATCGCACCTTCGCACTACACTCCTACAATTATCATTATTACGGAAAGCACAATACAGAACATAGCCATAAGGCTTTATCAATGACTTAGCACATTACTTTTCCTAGTGGTTAGACTGATAGCAGTATTTTAATAAATACATATAAAATGCCTTAATTTCATTTTAATATTATACAAGTTTTTATATCCATGTGGACAAATGTTTGTAATCCACTTGATTTAAGCGAGAAAAAGGAAAAGGGAATTGAAATGAAACTAAGAAATCATTAAGATATAATATGTATTAAATTTATAAAAATGGAGTGTCGTTAGATAGTACAAAAATAACAAACTGTCATATTTTTTGCATACAGTAAAATGAATAATAGATCACTCACGTGATTCCCACATTAAAGCGGTAATTGAGTATTGCCCTCACCGCGTGACGTCACACTAGGTTAGGTACTTTGTTTATACGTAGGATGGGGACTAATGTAATCATACTAAATATTAAAAATGAAATTCGTTGCAGGGCGGAGCGGGCTGGTTAAGTATAATTCCAACTTCATTACAATATATTGTATTAAGTATATCATCTCGGTCCTGGGGGCCAATTCTACTAAATAAATTTTATTTAAAACGGATCGATCAGTTCGATACGATTTCAATTTTCATTTTACCCCAGAAGCGATCCGTTGAATCAAACAATTCACAATCATAAATACATCAGCATTTGTCTACAGAAGTTTAAATGGATATTTTCTTAAAGTACTTAATGAGCTCCGACGAATGCTAATCCATCTAAATAACTTATTTTCTCTTACAAAGAGGGAGGAGGGATTTCTTGATATTCTTACTTAAGATTACAGGCACAAAATAATAATTTTAGTACAGTCAACAGCACGTCATGTTATACAAATCTGTGAAAGAATCATGTCGAATTTTGACCTAAAAATTTACTAACGCGTCTAGAGATGTGATGTATCTCTAAATATAGCTTATTTTTTACTTATTTCATATCAGGAAATTTAATCTTAAAACAAAGTCAGGATAAAAAATACGAGTCATTATACTTTGAAAATAGTACTAAGACAACTACACGATTCGATTCGGTATGCCACGTTTCGTTTCATGTAATTCGGAAACATACTCTTTCGTCATAGTAAAAGTGACCATTAACCAAACATTTTGATTTATTTAAGAGTCAAATTTTAAAAAGCTTTGTTTTGAATGCTTTAATTTTAAAGTAGCTTACCACAAAAGATATATTAAACAAAATTTAATTTAAATTATCACTAATGATGGGTAGACGCGACCTTTGAAAAAACATGTGTCAGGTCAATCAATGTATGGAAAATGGACATGATTCTTTCTTTACTTGATTTGAAACTTGAATGTTTTGTGGGTAATTTTTAAAATCAACAAGAGAAATCCCCCTATTCCATATATCTCTACTGACAAATCCCCACTGGTAATACATTGTATTGTACAAAGCAATAAGAGTACCATTTTATGTTTTATTTAATGAAGTAATGTTTTTAATAGTAAGTAAGTCTTATGCAAATTTGACTAGCATTTGCACAAATTTTAACTTCTCATACATTCTTTGTATTTAAATCGTTTTCATGACTTAAGTTTTATTTTATGAACACTTAATAATATTAACAAACTTATCCCTACATAAAATTATATAAAATATTAAATATAAATAATTATATAAAATATTAAAAAACTTATCCCTACTGGTAGCGATAAATGGAAATAACTCTACATAAAATTATATAAAATATTAAATATAAATAATTATATAAAATATTAAAAAACTTATCCCTACTGGTAGCGATAAATGGAAATAAAAATCCATGTATCCCAACCAGTGCAAATTGGTAGAGATATATCCCTACCGGTAGCTACAATTGGAAAAAACAATCCTAGTATCCCTACCAGTGGGGATTTGTCAGTAAGGATATGTGGAATAGGGGAAGAAATCTGTCATATTGTGGTTGCCTGAAGGGCAGCCTTGTGTGTATACGTACAAACAAAATGATCCTTTTGATGATTTTTTTAAATTTAGATTCTTACTTAATAAGTACCAAACAATGGGGAGAGCGGATCTATTCTATTTTGAAGGACAAAAACTAGGAAAGCTAGTTTTGAGACACTATCGTAAGTTCTTTTTTTATTGTCATTTTTATCGGTACGTTATAATAATGTAAAAATACCAAAATTTGTAAATACAACATGTTTGTACCAAAATAAATAAATCATTCATTCATAAAATTCGTCATGCGTGAAAGTGGATGATGCCTTGTAACCGAAGCGATAACTATAAGAACCTTCTATTAGTTTTAACAATGAATATAATTTTTTTTTTTTATAAAATTAAATATATTTATTATAAATTTTGGTTTATTGCACTTTTCAAAATATTTTTATTCAAACAATGAAAATTATTGGTTACATACATTATGACTAAAAAACAAGTAATTATAAAGTATAAACATATTCGTTTATAAAAAAAAAATCTGAATATTTATAAAAATTAATGTATATTGCCTTGTAGTCATAACTTATTAATAATACTGCATCTAAATTATATCATATACGTACATACACGTTTTTAACGTTTGTACTACACAAGATAACGCAGCATAAAGGTATTTTATTTAAAAAAAATCTATATTTTGATCAGTAAGAAAAACAAAAGAAATGTCTTTGTGTTTCTACATTTTGATTTTATATCTTAAATATTAACGCGTTAATACAATTTATTACGAGAGTAGGTACAAAGCTTACATACACTGACAAACCTGTATCAACATTTTGTACAATTTTCATATTTAAAGTAAAACTATTGGCTAGTGCTTAATTTTAAAATAACAACTTTGAGCGTAAACGCGACCAATTAAATAGAAATAGAAAACTATGAAAATTTGGCGAAATGAGCACGACACAAGATATTCGGACATTGTTCACATATTATACTTCTAATTTATGATTAAAACAAAAAAGGAATCTTAGGTGTAATAATAATCACACTCTAACTATGCCCCACCAAAAATAGATACTCGCACATCTATAAACAACATACTCATAACTCCACATGTCACTCAAACGAGTAGTATGAAGCGATGAGATTCAGTGTGAATGCAACCGGAAGTCACGTAACGGACGAGCCCCACCGAAATGTTTTGTCCTTCTTGCAGAAAGAGTACTAAAATGATACTTGTTCCTATAATCCAGCCGAATTCGATGAATAATAAATGTAAACAAAGCGAAGCAGGGTCATCACAACTGAGATGAGAAAAAATATATAAAACTACACCAGGATATTGCACATTACTTCGTAATTTTATGAGTAATATTTTTTTAATGCCATAAATTTTCAGAAATACTTTTTCTATATAAAAAAAATAGAAAATAGCAATAACGCTCAAATTATTTTTAAAGTTCAGATTTAAATTAACTATCTAAATAAAGTTGTCAATTATTGTAAAACATGTTCCTTAAGATTGACTACATTTGAAATCGATCGCATAATGTAAGACGACCCGTGTGAACTTCGGTATTCCGTTCTACTGTTTGAACTTCGGTAAACGACAAAAAGTTTTTTTCTTATAATAATGTGTCTATAGCATTTATAGCATTGCGAATTGATTGTATTATTTATAAATAGCATGTTTATGAAGAATTAATTAGTACATTTATTTATAAAACAATTGGTTTTTGTTTATACATGACGTGTTCCTTGTAATGTTAAGACATTGCACATTAAATTACAAAAATTAGGTAAAATGGAAAAAGAAATACCAACAGAATTGTCTTGTTTAGAAAGGTTATTAATATCTAGCTGTCACTGGTTGCTAAGCAATGCTCTGTTTAGTAAACATTCTTCTTCGAATTTCGCTGTAGTATAGGTACTAAATTTTCAGTATTAGTGTACTTCACCATTTTCCTTTTTTGTAACAAGGAATTTACAATTAATTAATGAATACTTTTATTGTACACCATAATTAAATAAATTTAAATTGTTGTTATAAATTCACCATCAATGAAATGACCAATCAAGGAATGGGTGAAATGAAATTATATTCTTACGCCATCTTGGAATGGCCATTTACAGGGAACCAACTCTGTCCTCCATTTTTATTTTAATCAAAGTTTTAACCAGTGGCGGACTAATGGAGATAAGATAAATTGGGGTTGTACTGCCTTATTATGTCCAGTTTCGTAGTTTTAACAGGCGATTTAGCAGAGGGGGTACCGCCCCGGGCTCCGGTGGGATTAGTCCGCCACTGGTTTTAACCTACGTTAGATTACTCTTGTACAAAAATAGTTTACAAAAGTTAAGATTAGGTATGTAACTCGGCTGAGATTTAATATCACAGAAACACGATGATATTTGAAGCCTCTATATTGAAATAATACTTATTTTACTGGTATTACTATATATTGAAGGGTGCAGTGCTTCCACAAATTTTGTTGAGTTTCGAAATATGAAATTATTGTTCTTACAGATTTGATTATCATAATCCAACCCAATACCAAATCATTATTATACGATAGATTTTGACTCTTATTGCCAAGGAAATAAGAACTAACAAGTAGTACTAAACTTGTTGACTGTATACAAAGCTATAGAGCACTGATATTTTTTAAAATATAAGAATTAATGATGTCGATATCATAAAAATTGAGAAAAAATGCAATTAATACTAGTTACACCATTTTTAGAATTATATTTACCCACAGATTATTCACGACCATTGCCCATGACGGCGATGACTACGGCCAGCACTGGACGAAAAGAGAAACATTTGTTAATTTTTTCAGATCTCCAGCATTCCTAACATGCATTTAGCTTAGCTAGACTAGTAGATAAAGAAAATAATGCTATATACGTCATATTAGCAGAAAAAAGATCTATTTTAAGGACTGTGTACTTGATGCTATCAAATTAACGAAAAGAGAAACATTTGTTATTTTTTACAGATTTCCAGTATTCCTAACATGCATTTAGCTTAGCTAGACTAGTAGATAAAGAAAATAATGCTATATACGTCATATTAGCAGAAAAAAGATCTATTTTAAGAACTGTGTACTTAATGCTATCAATTTAATAATAATATTCACTAACATGAAATTTAATATAAGTTATCATTAAGGGTGTTTCAAACCAGCCCGTCAAAATTATTACAATGTTGTACAATAGTAATACATAGAACTGTTTTATTTTCATGACATTAAATGAATATTGCATTAATAAATGTTTTATGAACTCAACGGAATTTGAGATAAACGCTCTAAATAATAACTACAACAATCTAACATGCATAGGTCCAAATACCTAGCATGCAATCGATTAACGTCATTCAAAACATGCTTGTGGCTCCATAATTGTGGCATCATGAAAATCTGTATTAACTTTTACTTTATAAACCTTTGTCTTAGAATAGCTGGCCGAAGATGAGCTAAACAGCTCGGAAACCATTTCGAAGTTGCTAAATATGCTTTAATCAGGCCAACACATGTGTGCCATATTCAAAATAATAAATTACCACGTTCAGAACTCGTGAACATCGCATAAAATAAGCGCAAGTTACCTTTACCTTATGGAAACCAAAAGATAACAAAATTTTCGAAACCAAATTTTTTTTTAAACGTCAAAAATTTATTTTTAAATGGTTTATTAATATAACGAGATAAAATTTCTGCAATGCTAATACCAAAAAATTGTATATTCCTATTATTGCTTCTAAAACGTTAAGTATGCTGAGCGAAATTGATAAGCAATCTAGAATCGGTTTTCAGAGCCGCTCACAACGTCCAATCAGCCAATCTATCGTAGATAGTAGAAACTATTATTTCAACAATTAATGAAAATAATTTGTCTGTAATACAAACTCAGACGCCACATTTTTAAATTGTGCTTATTCCTATAAGTGAATACATCAAAAAACTAAACTATTAAACTAAGCAAACAATAATGTAAAAAAAAAATATACTAATACTAAAATACAAATGAAATTTGCAGTCATAAGTCATAACTCTATAATTTAATTTTAAATAAAAAGTTGTGATACGGATAATGAAATAAAACTAGGGCATGTTGCTTTGTGAAACGTAAAAAACTTGATGAGAATAAACAGTTGAGATTTTTTACTTTTCTCAATTCAGAAACCGACTCCATATAGACGACAGCAATAGCAATTTACCCAAGTACCATTATATCTAAGAACTCATAAAAACAACAAGGCATATTCCTAACATGACTCCATTATCACACGATACTCGATTGCATAACAGAGATGCTTTGGTGCAATTACGAAAACAGGAAAGTTCCGAATTTCTAATATAACATTTATATAATAGGACGTTTTATTGCAACTTTCTGTTAGCAGAATACTACGTTCAAGTGCCAGCAACTGCACGACAGACTATACAAAACTGTCAAATTTCCCCACTCGATTTTAAACCTTAACTAAGCATGAGTAGAGGTCAAAATCTATTGCCGAAATTTGGCATAATGTGGTAACCCGACGTGCAGCCGTGTACTTACAAGTAGTATGTAAAATAAACAGTTTATTATAAACGCCAAACTTCATTCACAGAGTAGTGATTAACAAGTAATAGTGTTTATGGCAGGGGTTAATATTTTTGAATTTAAATTACAGTGTAATTTATACAATAACAATATTGCTGTATAATGGAATGTAAGAGGAAGACAAACTTAATTATCAAAGAAACAGTATTCGAAAGTTTGTTTGTTACAATAGGTGCTGCCATCTATGCCGAGCTTAGCGTTCCATAATGAAATGTCAATGTTTGTATATTATATTCAACAGCTTATTGTTGAGAAAGAAGAAAAAAATATCAAATGGTGATTTGTAATTTTAGGAGATTCCTATTTCCGTAATTGCGGATAATGACCCCATTACACCAGATGGTATTTTATATTATCCAATTTACAATCGGTAAGTGTTATTTTTGATAACTTTCATGAGTGATAAATATATATATACCTATTTATAATAAACATGTGCTTAGCTTATATTTATAAGGCATTTATATAAATTCTAAAAAGTTAATATATTTATAAAACGAGCTTGCAGTAAAAGTTACCATTGACAGGCAATAAACAAGTATAAGTATGTTCATTACTTAGTTTTTCATATACTTTTAAAGGTATGTTATATTTAAATATTATTTTTAACATTCTTAAAGAAACCTTGTTGGGCTAGCCTTAAGAACCATAATGATATTCATAATTGTATTGAACATCCCAGCATTTAATATCTACCAATTATAATAGCTCTCGTTATGTATATTTAATAGAAAATACGTAAAAGCCTTTTGTCGTAAAAATGAAGCTTTCTTTTGGAATAAATTTCAGAAGTCCTGTCCTTATACCTTTAGACCAAACACCATTTTCAGGAATTGTTCGTAATGAATAGTGATTACTCCATCCTGATCCGTATCAAACTGACGAAATGCTGATGTGAGAGTCTAAAAATATGTTACAACAATATAATATCAAAACACATTAGGAAATACGTTTTAATTTTGATAAATTTTAGATTGATTGCTTTAACTGATATTTTTTTATAGAAAAATGCTTTAAAAAACGGTATTACCAATACCAGGTGCTCGTGATCAGATTCATTCGATCTCACCCAGAACTGGGATTAATGTGAAGGGTGGTGAAATTTTTTTAAGTATTTTTCTATAAAAATAAATCGTCAATACTATTTTATCTTATAATAAATCTTATACATGAATTCGGATATATTTTCTAATATAGATAATTTGTATAATATAAAGGATAAAATACTTACATAGAGTGTGACACAGCATTGTATGAAATCATCAAAGAGTATGGTACCATTACCGTATCTGTCAAATTTCTGTACCATTATATTAACCACTTCATCCGATAATCTGTATCCAAATGCTGTAAGGGCATTTCTTAATTCGTGCCGGTCAATGTTACCGGAATTGTCGCGATCAAATGATTTAAAACAATTCTGCCAATCGCTTACATATTTCCATAGTGCACCAAAATCTTCAAATGATATAGCACCTCTATTTTGCTTGTCAAACATTCCTGTAAATAAAATAATAAATTGTAACTAATTGATTATCAGAGAAGTTTGTCCAATTAAACATAATTAGTAGGTAATCCTAACATTGTGTAGGGTTTAAAATGTTATAAATGTACAGTTAACTGCACATCAGACTATACACAACTATCATAATTTCCACTCAATTTTAAACCTTGATTTAATGAGGATAGAGGTCAAAATCAATTGAGGAAATTTGACATATTGTGGTAACCTGACGTGCAAACATGTGACTAAAGTTCCATATTTACCTTTGAAACAACTCAAATATATTAGTATATAACAATAATATTAGACAACATCAAATATGTACGCTTCTAAGATCATAAGTAGCTTTTAGCATCTGTATTATGGAAATTTGATACAATGAAGATGACACAACACTTAGATCAGAGACAATAAAGAAAACTTCATTTTCGGTATTGACCGGACCGGGAATCGAATCTGGCACTTCAGAAATGGCTACACCTTGAAACTGGCGTGCGAGCCCCTCGGCTATCCACCTCCCACCCAAATCACGTGTATTTTTAGTACCTAAAGGTAGTACTTGATGAAAACCATCTCAGATTCACACGGCAAATCAAGTTACTATATGTCAAAATATTCTAGTTAATCTAAAACTTTAACCAAACCAAACTGCTTATGAGTAAAATAAATGCTTATCAGATTACTAGACCACGGTTCGTTCTATGCGCCGTCTCTTAACCAAGAAAGAGAAAATCCAGCCTATTCACAAAATCTGTATGACGATGTGTCTTACTTTGAATAAGATCCCCGGCGAAATACAATAATAATAATATTCTTTATTGCACAAATATAGGACACATTACAAAGAAAGAAAAAAGATTAGACAGTACAAAAGGCGGCCTTATTGCTATGCAGCAATCTCTTCCAGGCAACCAATGGTAGCATAGAAAACATAGATAAACAGTAATGAATGATAACGGGGAGTAGGTGCAATAGCGACAGGAATTAAATAGATATACATAAAGAGAAAAATATATAATGTACACGAAAGAGAGAGAGTTAAAAGTTGGAGAGAAAGTGACATTTTACTTCTGCGACGAAAGATCGCAAAGTGCGAGCCTTCCTAATATTTTCTGGTAACGAGTTCCAAAGCCGAACAGCTTGAACAGAAAAAGAATAGGATAGGAAGTCAGAGGAGTGAGGAGGGATATCAAGTTTCAGGTTTGAGGCAGACCGCAGAATACACTGTGATCTGGATGAGGAGTTGCGAAAGGAAAAAAAAATTTTTAAGTAGGGTGGAGACATGGGCAAGAAAAGAACAGAATAAAGAAGCGTAAGAGTGTGTAAGTCCCTGCGCCGGCGAATAGGGAGCCAGTTAAGTTTTGAGCGGTAATGCGACACATGGTCATATTTGCGAAGATACATAAATAAACCGAATACACATATTCTGCAGACGCTCTAATTTGTTGAGGAGTTCCTCGGTTAGATCGGTATAGGAAACATCAGCGTAGTCAATGATGGAAAGAAGGAGAGTTTGTGCAAGCGTGATTTTAGTTTTAGTTGGTAGGAAATTTCGTAGTCTATTTAGCGAATTGTACGCAGCAAACACTTTTTTTCTTAGTGCATCTATTTGAGGCTTCCATGTAAGACACTGGTCAAATATGATACCAAGGTTTTTGACCATACTCGAGTAAGGAATGATAGTGCCTAAATTATTATTAAATTACTATTTTTAAATTAAATAAAATATAGAGATATTCAGAAAAACGTATGCCTGGTTTAATGTCTACCCCCAAAAAAAAAAAAAAAAAAAAAAAAAAAAAAATGACGCAGCTCGACATTTTAGCATCAGACAGTACTGTGCATAGAAAATAGTAAATGCAGCTGAATTGCATCCCTATCATTATCGAAACGTACAAGAGTTGATTACTGTGGACTATGATGAGCCGAGGATTGTGTTATGTAATTGGAGTGCTTATTTACGCGGGTTGGTTTATTTAATCAACACAATGAACACTGGTGGTCTATACGCAATCCGATGTTAACACGGGAGAACTCATTGCAAAACAGATTTAGTTCGAATGTCTTGGTAAAAATCCTAAATGACAACATTGTAGGGCTTTATCTTATTGAAAGACGCCTAACTGGGGAAACTTATTTAAATTTGATTCGAGTGATGATCTCTACTATGTTGGATGACATTCCATTAACTAGCTTACGAAACCTCTGGTTTCAACAAGGCGGTGCTCAATATCGCGTGAACTGCTGACGGATGAGTTCGGGAGTCGTTGGATCGGTCGAAACGGACCCGTGGCGTGGCCTCCACGCTCATCTGATCTTACTTTTTATGCGGAGTGAGATTAAACTACGAGTGGTCATAACTGAACCGGATAAGATTGAGTTTTGAGATACATAGTGCTTTTTAAGTTTAGATAATAATTATAATTCTTACTTCTATATGGTCATAGTCCTGCAATCATATATCACACGACGAGGGTGGCGCCACAGTATCACAACATTGTGCCAAACCCTTAAGTATTTCGACGTATGTATATATATATATATATATATATATAAATTATGTTACAAGTTTTATATGTCATATAATTTATATACATATAGATAACTTCCTTAGGTAGCATTTATGCTGTTAAAGAAAAAATCGAATACAAACCAATCATTAATCGTACAGTTTCAGGATTAAATGGATTCCATGTGCCATTAGAAAGTGCTTGCTGTAACTCATCTGCTGAAATATAGCCACTGCGATCTTTGTCGACTCTGAAAAATTTTATTTCAATGAGATTATTAATTTACTAAAGGGTCTCTCATTATGCGCTTTCCGTTTTTGAATTCAAATAAGGTTAAGTCTAGTCCAGATATAATTGAATATACCTTTCTTTTAAAAGACCTATTGATGTCATTTTGTATGGAATATAACATTAATTAAATGTTGGTGATGGAAAACCTTCACTGGGGTACATAAAATAAGCTAAATTTAACTTGCTGGGCTATATTGGTTGTAATGGCTCATTTATGTTGGTGGACAGCAGTCAGCATAAAATATTAACAGGTGGGCCATTGAACCCTTAAAGGATGAGCAATCTCCCTCACATTAAATGATGAAGTTATCTCATTCTCAATTGCAACTTATTAGGACATAACAAAATCAATGAAAGTTAGTGATTTTATTTGGCTGCAGATAAACAATATAAATGTCTAAAATATCATGAAAAGATCTGACTTCTTCCAACATGATTTAGTAGAGAGTGGTATTAGTGGTACAGATGTCTACATTAAAACAGGAAACATGTGGGTAATATTACAGATTTTTTTAAAACTCAAATCATATAAACATTCATATTTAAAGTATAATAAATCTCTCCCATTTTCTTGCTTTTCCACCTAGTTGTGTATATAATGACGTAATTAGAAAGGTTTAAAAAAAAATAGTTCCCAAAATCAAACTAGATGTAGCTACAGTACTTTCTTGATTTCAGCATGACAACCCTTCTAGTTTTCTTTTATGTATAACAGTAAATTAATTTTAAAAACTCAATAACCAACTAATATTCTATTTGTACTTTTTCATATTTGTATAGATATAGGTTTTGAACTTAGCAAATTTCAGTTTTTTTATATGTTAGTTAAAAGGACCAGAAATGACTATCTTTGGTCCATTCGTTTCTTGCAAAAATCAACTTTTGCCAGGAGCTTTTTAGTGCTTTCTTTTTTTAAATACTTCCTCATTACAGTGGTTCCACCTGATCACTGTTCTGAAATGTACTGTAGTTCATTTTTAATAGTCATGGTGATATTTAACTTGAACAAATAAAATAAAACACTTTTGTTTAAATTAGACTGAAAACAAATCATAATATGAAATAATATTACCTTCTGAAAATATCCCATAAGAATTCTCGGCTTGGCATTGGAGATTGAAAAGACATATTTATCTGAAAAATCATATCCTTCAATTAATTAATGTATCTTTTTATCTGGTATAGCAAATTGTGAAAAGGTCACAAAAATTGTGATTAACTAAATTTTAAATCAAGACAATGTTTTCTGTTACCAAAGTAAATAATGGGGCATACTTATAATCATAAGGAATTTTAAAGTTAATAGTTAATTAACAAAGTTCTAATTATAATATTTGATCAATTTTGCTTTCACAATAATATACTGAGCAATAATTTGAGCCCATGACCTTTCACAATCCAGGCAACTGCTCTAACCACTGAGCTACACAGGACGTAACAGGACTGACAAAATTTTCAAGCACTTGTTACTTTTTCGCTACTACAGAGTGTATTTTCACCATTTTTATTACAATTGAAAACTGACTGAATGTTATGTCTATTGACTGTAAAAATTTGATGTGAAAATTGTGCTCAGTTTACATACTTTAAATTGAATTATTTTTGTTAAAGTATAAACTAGAGAGGATTTAAAAGTAGATACTTATTTTGGACATGTGGATCTGAGGGATGTTGCAGTCGGTTAATTTTGGAAAATGTGTGTTGCGCGAAGTAGTTTAAAACGGATTGAATTTGAAACCTACATTAAGTCGATCATCAATCAATTCAACCAGAACCTATAGAATCTATTAATCAGTACAACGCAAAGGTTAAGATATGTCTTAATCGGAATATGTTTAACCTTTTTCAATGACACGTATACGAAACACGTATAGTAGTAATATTTTTTTTTGTTGATGCAAAATTAATAAGACAAGCTAAATTATCAAGACAAACAATATTGAAAAAAGAGAGGAGCTTGCATACAGTAGCACATAAGTACTTACAAACTGCCCTTTAATGCGGCAATAAAAAATCAAAATAATTACAAATCACGCCAAACAGATAACTTTAGAAAGTTATTTTTTTTTATAAAATCACTTATTGTAATAAATAACCAAAAATAAATAAAATCTCAATCAGTGAATCAACCAAAACATAAGTGTTGATGACGGAATCAGGGTGACCGTCACAGACTTGTGACCAGTGTTGCCAACCCCAGCATAGAGCAAAACTGCAGATATGCTTGAAAAAAACTGTAGAAAACTGTAAATATCAAATTAAAAAACAGTAAATCTACATCTATATCTTTTTATTATTTTATATTATTTAATGATAGTAGTAATAAATAGAATACATTATAGCGAAGGAATTAAAAACAATAAAAATCAAATTAAATTCCAAAATTCTCAAACATTTAAGTCAAATAAAATTCAAAACATTCACGGGGATTCCCGAGTAAGTAAGCAATAGAATGTCGGTAAAACAGACATCGACCGAAACGATATACGACTGTCCACCACTAACGCCATCTATTAAATTGGTTGACCATTACCTCCGGTTCGATAGTAGTAGGTTTTAGGCACCTATTACACTAACCAATCTATCGGGCACGATATATCGGCCGCGATTTAGGGCGGTTGGTATCGTTGTGATTACACTGCACTAGATCGCCTCCCTAACTCAGTTGGCATGCAAACGTGGCGTTGAAAGGATAGCTCCTTCGCTCACAAAGTACCAAAAAATTGGCATAGCCCATACTTTAGCTGCGGCCGTAAATAATAAAACAAAATGTTGGGTGAAAAATATTTGCTTCTAAATGACCTAAATAACTATGCAGTTTGAACTATTACAGAATGAGTTCTGCACAATTTGATCATATATTAAACTTAGTCATACCTTATATAGCGCAAAACAGCGGTTAGCTGTGCTGTAACCTTAAAATTTTTAGCAACGGGAAATGCATATCATGACTTAAAGTATAAATACTCAATAAGTTTATTGTTTCCATAGGTAATTTAAAAAAATATTACATAATTAAGTTAGTCTCACTATGGACCCTATCGGGCACAACAATAATATAAAGTTTATTATAGCATTAGTTTTTATTATTGTAATTTATATAAAATTTATAATTGTACCAGACACATGCAAAGGCTATCTAGAAATGTTTAAAACATTATATCATATTCTTATATATGTATATATATATATATCATATATATACATATATAAGAAAAAGTAATAATATTAAATTACACTTAATATTATTTCTTTTCCTTTTGAGAAGACATTTTTGTCTGTTCGCAAATTTCGTTGTCGTTCACTGACGTCTCACACGCACGCTGCGCAACAACCGACTGAGCGCTCTAACACCCTAACAGCGATCACATTACCCGATAAATCGGCCCTAACTCTCATCGGGCGATCGGGCGCCCACGTTCACCCGATATCGGGACCCTAACTCTCTAACTGCGATTAGACTACCCAATTTACAGTGTACCCGATGGATCGTGCCCGATAGATTGGGTAGTGTAATAGGCGCCTTAGTGAAGCTGATTTAGTGTACGGAATACGTAGCAAATAAAATAGATGACGCTAGCATCTTAAATAAAAAAAAACTGTAGATTTCGAGGCCTAAACTAAAAACTGAGAGAATTTGGAAAAAACTGTAGATCTACAGTAAAAACTGTAGGGTTGGCTACAGTTTTTACTGTTGACCATTGTGACCGTCAGCGTCAGTGTTACCAACTCCCAACAAAATAGCCATCAAAAGCCCCTGTCCTGCTTGTATTACCTACAGATTTAATGATATAGTTTAAAAAAGTTTTCTGTTTTATTAAGGTGATTAAAATAGACCACAGTTTTATTTTTTATTAACTTTATTGGTTTTAATTACATGAAACGCAATCAATTAATTTTGTTAATCTAAAAAAAATTGACTATTTGCCTTTTTTTAGATGAATAAAAACGCACCCTAATACATAAAACCTTTTATGTAAAAAGATCTGTGCTTTTGTATACTATAATCGAATAGGGAAACTCTCTTGTCTTTTCTACTAGTTCACTAAGAAAGGATCTAGTCTTAAATTATTTAAAGCATCCGATGAAGAATCTATTTGATGATCGAAGCCAAAAAGCGTACTATGTTTTATGACTAAAACCAACCTAAAAAATAAGCAATAAACTATGACACGAAAATAAAACTACAGAAAATGTAAATAGATTAGAAAATGTCATATTGAAGCCATAGCAATATGCATAGATAGTCTATAGACATACACTCAAGTCCAGCTAAACATTTGCTTCTATATAATGCACAATTGGTACCTGTTTTGTCAAATAATTAAACATTTTGTCCATTCCAAAGAAAACAAAGTTCTTTTGTGTGTTGCAAACGATGTTCATTAATCTATTTTAATCCAAATAAAAAGATTTAATGGGTAATTTAGACATTACCTATTTTTTTTATAACTAATTTATTTAATTTTTTTGGCACTAAAATTAGCCCTAAATTTTAATGAGCTCCAAAAAAAGCCCAGTTAGTTAATTTTCGCCCTAAATTTGGGGCTAAAAGCCCTAAGTTTGTAAGCCTGGTGACCGTTTCGAAAACGTTCTTTTTCTTCTTTTTTATTTTAATTTGGAAGTATAAAAAAAAAACGCTCGTTTCCTAGATGTCGCTCCGGTACACCTTGATCTCTCCATGATAACCCTTCCGGTTTTCTTTCACGTATAAAAGTAAATTCATTATTAAAACTCAATAAACAACATATCTTCTTATTGATGTTTTTCGTATTTGTATTGATATCTAAGTTTCGAACTTCGCAAATTTCAGTTTTTTAATATACTGGGTGGAACAGTTTGAGCGACACTACCGCGGTTTCTGAAGAGTGCTTTTTGATTATCATACCAGGGCCTGCTTAACCTATAGTGCAGGGTATGCAATGCGCACGGGCGCCACCGTCGCAGGGGCTGTAAAAGAATTGTAGCTCTACGTAAAATAGTTTCGCAGTTATTATAAATGAGTGTGTACAAGGTCATTGACTTCGTAATTTAGAAAAACCAAATAAACTAGTATTGTGATCAATTTAACGGTTTCTTCACAATTTCTAACTGATAACCACAGAAAAAAACAAAATGCTGAAATTAATTAAATAACTAACATCAAAAGAATAAAAAGATTATTCTAACGTTAACTAAGTTACAGTACATGAAACTACATTATTTAAAATAGAGTTATCCTTAAACTAAAAACAGAAAATTAAAAACAGTAACGTGATAACAAAATATGAATTCTGAAAAAAAGTGAACTGAATTCGTTCCTGGTTATCAAAGACAAAAGCGAGTCAGTCTCGCCCAATCGCCGCAAGCGCCAGCCAATCACATCACAGATCTCGATTGTGCTTCTTTGATGTATCGGCCTCGGTCACCTTGGTCGGTTTTCTGCTTATTCGACGCCGGACGTTTGCGTTTGGAATACGGTATCTGGATCTGACGTAACGAGCATATCTGGTCTGGCGACAAGCCCGCATATTGCGCTAATCGGCTCATCAGCAGAGGTGGTTGGTTAACGTACGTGCCGGCATACATGGTAATGCACTAATCGGATCAATTTTTTTACCACCTACACTGAATCGTGACGGATATCGCCAGCTACTGGCAAACGACGTGGTTAGCGATGTAAATCAGCTGCCAACGGAGGAACGAACTGTAGTGCGGTTTCAGCAGGACGGGGCTCCAGCACATTCCGTGGTGGAGGTGCGCGAGGTATTAAACGAAATGGTTTGGAGATCAATGGATCGGCCGGTACGGACCACATCGCTGGCCAGCACGCTTCTCACGCCTCTGAACTGTTTTTGTGGGGCACTTTGAAAGATCGCGTTCACCGCGATGAATGCGAAACTCGTGGTGAAATGGTGAACCACATGATGGGAGCATTTGAAGAGTTCCGCCGGCAAATTGTTGATAGTGATGTACTTTTGCGCTTGCAATGGCATACAAAAGAGCGTGCTTGGCTATGTCTGCAGAGAGATGGTAGACATTTTGAACATCGACTTTAGGTGGGTTATTAAATTAATATGAATAATCAGAATTAAACTTAGTAATTATAAAATGTATGGGATTGCTGCTATATCGGTAATTTGCATGTAAGTTGTACTCCGCACACATCGACATTGTGTGTATAATAACGCGCGCGCGCGTGTGTGTTGGTTATTTAAGGGCACGTTTCCTGCAAAAATCAACTTTAGGTAGAGTTAAATACATATGCCCGATACTACCTAGAAATCTGTCAAACCCATCTCCAAAAAGTATCAAAAATATGTTATCATATTTTTGCGTATTTAAAATAGGTACAATGCGACACAAACAGTAGAAAATAATTAAGGGCTCTCCTGTCATTTAATAGGGCAACAAATTTCATAGAAATCTATTGAACGTCATGTTGACAGTGACGCAGTTGTATGGATGGAGTCTGTGATGTCAGTAGTAAAAATAATTTTAGTTTATTCCGTTTTCCCCCTATTCCACATATCCCTACTGACATTTTCTCATTGATAGGGATATATGGAACCTGTTGCTCCACATACCTCCACCGAATTGCACTGGTTGTGATACTTGGATTTTGTTTTTCCATTTATCGCTACCAGTACGTATAAGTTTTCTAGGATTCCTTTAATATTAGACATGACATATTAAGTGTTCATAAAAAAAATGTCATGAAAATACAAAGAATGTATGAGAAGGTAAATTTGTGACAAATGCTAATCAAACTTGCACAAAACTTATTAGAAACAATGCAAAACATAAAATTGAGTTTTGATTAATGATTAGAATTTATTTGGTATTAATAATTACTTTTGCTTTTGCATCTTTTTAAATGTGAAATATTTTGATGTTTTGTTGACGCAGAAAAAAGTAAATTATTTTTATGACTTTGTCCGTTTTATACGCTTATATGTCAAACTGCATAAATAGGTCATTGACTTCTTCATTTCTAAAAACGAAATAAACTAGTTTGTGATTTATAAGACTGCTTAAACAAGGCAGTCAAAATGCTTAAATCGATTTACAGACTAACAGCCGATTTCTGATTTGAAAAAAGTAGAAAATTTCTACTGCTTATTCTCAATAACCCAATTTTTTTTAAATTTCACAAGTCCTAATTTATCAAACTGCTATCAACTGATCATCAAAAAACTAAAATCGTCAACGAAAACTAAGTGATGTTAGTTTGAGTCGTTTAACTTTAAATTCTCAATTAAGAAACCGAGTGTAAAATTTCCTAAATTATTGTAGAGAGATCAGTCTAACATTAACCTACGTTATTTTAAAAGAGCAGTTCTACAAAAAAATTGTTTGAATGGGGTAATACTCCTTTAACAACGGGATCGTTAATTAAATTCGATAAACTCACAAATCTTCCAGCGATTCATCATTGATACAAATCAACTTTATTTTAAAAACATCGAGGAATTTATTATTAAAATAGCATTTAAAAAGAACATTAAAAAATGCGTGATATCAAAAGACGAATAAAAAAAATGTGAACCGAGTTCGTCCCTCGATATCAAAGCCCCAACCGCGGGCCAGCGGCTTCATTATTTTCCGGCCGATCACGATCAGTCGCCGCCGACCTTTTCCGTTGGAGTGTTGTTACGCATCGCCGCCGACGCACCGCTGCGAAGCGTCTTTTTTTGTCAATTTTTGTTTTGTTCTAGTGCATTTTTAATTGAATTTTTGTTAATAAGATACTAGAGTGTACGTCTTGAGTGATAAGTTTAGTTTAGTGAAGATTGTGTTTAGTTTTGTGTGAAATGTGATGTGTTTTGCGCGTGCATTGAAAAGAACGTGCTTAGCTCAATCTTCAGAGAGGTAGTGGACATTTTCAGCATCGACTATCATTAAGATATCGGTAAATATTTAAATTAAATTAATGTATTTCGCGGTTCGTTGTAATCTGCACACAATCGATATTGTGCATGCGCGTTATAGGGCTGTCAACACTTAGAAATTTAAAATTTTTACTCCATTTTTACACCTCCTCTATTTTTAAGTATTTGTCGTCAAATAAAATGAACGTTGGCATGTAACCTAACTTGAAACTTTCGGCTGTGTCGGTCATTTTGTTCCTCCCAGTATATATATATATATATATACCGCTATTTACATATATTTATCGAAACTTGTATCTGTATTTCCGGTGGTCTTGAACGTCATCGGTAAAGGTGCCTACTAAAATGAGTATATTTCTTCAAAATCGGTATATAACAAATAATATAAAATACACTGGAACGTTAACGCCCTAGGCAAAATACTGGAAGTTGGCATCCAAACAAAAATGAAAAATGACAACATAAAGAGTAATGTAGGTACACCAAAGAATTTCCTTTGGTACTGCTGGTCTATAAATTTTGTACTTTTGGATACCACGGACATGCAGTCATCATGATCAAAGAACAAAAGTAATTTTTAATGCATGCTTAAGGTTCAAAGAATTAGAGCAAACATAATTTGTTCCAGTCCCCCCAAATACGAGCACCTTGGGCAGTAGTAATACGCCTATGATGTTTGCCTATATGAACGGGCTGGCCTGGATTCGCAGTCTTATCTGCAGTCACCTGCCTATACTAATATTGTAAACAGGAAAGATTTGATTGTTTGCAATTGACTCCGAAACTACTGGACCGACATTAAAAACTCTTTCACCTACGGGAAGCTACATGATATGCGGTGGACATGGATAATATTTTATCCACCAAAGTGACGAAAATGAGAGTGGAAGTTTGTCTACGGAATTAAAACGTACTCTAATAACCATTATTTACTATTCAATTTGTCATTTTGATTATATCTGTGTCACGATATCCAAATCAATTTAATATTAAGTAAGCTGTTTACACAGGAGTAAACAATCTTATTAAAATATATTCCGCTAAACAGATCCTAAGGGAATATATCGATACTTCCATCCATAATCCAAAAATAATCTAACACACGCATGACCTTAATGAAATGAATATCATATGTGAAGATCAGCCTTTGTACATTAAAATTTAGATTTCTCTTTTGATTTCTTTCGATATTAGTATTTTTTAAAACGGTATCACTGTTCTTCATATCGATTTAGATAGATATTTTAGGGCGTTGATAAATATCGGTTTTCCGATTTATAGTTGCCTCAACACCGAATTGTTGCGCCGCGACGTCGGCGCTATGCTTCGATATTAAAATGGCGGATGTCCCAACTATAGAAAGAAAAGTAAAACTTACTAAAAATGGCAAAGTTGTAAAAAAACGGACACGGAATCCTGAAGGTAACCATAAAAAAAAATTGCCCCTGTATTTTAGATAGTTAGTCGAGAGTATACATAAATGCAGCTTAAGTGTGCAGACTATTATTCTATATTGTTATGGTTCCATTAATGCCTCTTACTACATTTTTGCTTCTCAAATAAAATATTTGAAATTGTTTTAGCGTACTTACCTAAATGGTAAGTACACTAAAACAGCGTTCTTACCATAAAAATAACGAGTGACTGACTTAAATATGCTCTATTTAATTAATTATCACATAGACAAATGAAGAACGAATATTTTAAAGAATTAAGTTTAAATTCGTGTATACTGTACATTAAACTTTTATATTACCTTTCAATTTTTGTTTTAGAATGGCATAAACAAAAACAAAAACGCTTGAGAATAGCTGGTCTCGAATACATTAATGCAAATGGAAAAGTTGTACCACCAAAACAACCTGGCCCTGATTGTAACTGTCGCCGAAGATGTTTTCAAAAAGTTCCAGAAGATGTAAGAATAAAAACATTTCAAGGATTCTACTCTATGAAATCTCATGATGAGCAAAATGCATACTTATTTGGTTTAATGAGGCAAGTAGATGTTAAGAGAAAACGAGTTAAATCTAGTAGCCGTAGAACATGTACTTTTGAATATTTCGTAAGAGTGAAGGGGCGGGAGACTCAAGTATGCCAGACGGCTTTTAAAAATATTCATGCTATCACAGAGAGAAAAGTAAGAGTTCTCTGTAAGAAAATGGATGATGGAGTCATGTTTCCTAGTGATAATCGAGGCAAAAACAGTCATCGGCGATCTGGGGAAGTTCGTTTACCCTCTGGTGTGGTTGATCAAATTAAAAATCATATATATTCCATAGTTCACACTCATCGTTTAAAGGATTTTATAAGACTGGATAAGATTGCAGGCTTAGAAATAAACATTTCTAAAATGTGGAAAGATTACATTAAAGCATATGACCCTGATAATATCACAGCAACACTCCCGAAATCTAAAAGAAATGTAGAAATCCCATTAGTGAATGAACCTATTACAGTTCCCCCACCACCACCACCACCACCTCAGGAGCCATCATTTGCCCCAATAGCATATCCTGGTAGTGGTCATCTTGTAAACATTGCTGAAAACTACTTTCAGAGCCAGTATCAAACTACTGCAATAACTGCTAATCCTTCAACAAACTTTTATCAAACACAGAATGGTAGTCAAACTATGGGACTGCTTCTGCCTACTAGGCCTGCACAACCTGCTTATATTGTATTACAAACGAAACAAGAACCTCAAGCAATAGCCATTGATAATAATGCCTATGATCAATCTGCTGATGTTCATTCTAAACCAGAAAAGGAAATTAAGGTTAAAACAGAAAAAAGAAGAGGGCCACTAGTTAAACAGTGGAGGTATACTAATATATTCCATGATGAAATTAATGGAGCAGCTTTAGCTGCAATCAAGACCAGATTGGGCATGTATTATGCAGAAAGTGATGCTGCCAGAAAAAAGGCTAAACAACAAGCACGACCTTCTGAAACTGTTCAAACACAAACATCTCCTGAGCAAATAAGACCTACACACACTTTGACAATCTACACTTAAGGTACATTTACTAGTGACAGTAACAAATTTGTCAATGATATTTTGGTACAATAATTGGATGGAGTTCCCATTAAATGTAGTTATCATTTAAAGATATCAAAGAGAAAAAGCCTGGCGTCAACAACAGGCAGAATGAATCAAAGGTATGTTAAAATAAATCACATTTGTTGTGTTTATCTGGGAATAGTCTACCTGAAACAATTAGTAATCAAAAGGTGTTCATCAAAGGTTGTGCTTTAAGACATGGGTAGTTCCAATGAAGATACCTTGTTTGTTACATTAGAAATCAGTATGTATTGATGGAGAAATCATCTGACAACCTATGCATGGGTTCAACTCAAGTGTGGTGCGGGAAGCTGTGCTAGTCAATGCCAGGTTTAAGACTTCTGTCAACTGTAACCAAGCCGTTATAGGAAATATCATCAGCATAGCTACCTACCATATATTATCATATACAAAAACAAACTAACACAATGAGCTATAATATATTAGTATAATAAATAATTTGTGAAAATATACTGTTGAATGATGTTGACATTTATAAAAACTAGCCAATGCACTCCCTAATATGGCGTATTTTGGGACTATGCATTTCAACTAAGTTTGACTCTGTGTGCTTCTAGTTGACAGTATAGTAGCTGAGTGAGTCGATAATGCTTGGATTTAAATGTATGTTCTCTATACTTTTTGATATATGAACACAGAGAAATTTGAGTTTCAATGTGTCGGCCAGTGATGATTATTAAAAAACTCACCTGACATTAATTATCTGATAGCTTGAATCGTCATAATTTTCATTTAAGTTAATGCCATATTGTGCTGGTGCCTAATTCCAAATGCTTTTTAAAAGACTTGATATGATATTTGAAAAATTTTATACATTCAGCTATATGATGGAATAATAGGACCAACTTAATTTATTTTGTCTTCTTTAATATGAATAATAACATGCGTAAATAACGTCAGAATAGCAGCCAGTTGCACAAACGTCAATTAAAATTGTCATTAACTTTATCAGTGGCGGAGTAACCTCAACAACATTTCCAAGCAGCAAAAACTTTATATTGCGTTTACACCACCCCCCAACGTATACATTTTTAAGTTTATTATTATGATTGGCGGCAGCCTATTTGGAGGCCCTTTTAGAGCATTTGTCGGAGCGTCATAAAACCATAATGGTTATTTGTGCAAGTGACCATTAGAAGATAAAATAATTTAAAGGAAAATATGTTTTTCTAACCACTTTTTATTAAGAAATAAATGAATATATCTATTAATATCTAAGAAACGAACCGGTACTACTCTGCCGAAAACGCTCCCTACAAATTCAGGCAAAGATATAGTAACGAAAACGTATGGGCAGTCTCGGAATTTTGTGCGTTTGTTTAAAAGTTATATTTTAAGCATCTAATTTAATGCTATATGTAATTCGGCAAATGCTTGGAATATATTTTCCCATTTTTATCAAATTCTGAAAGTGTAATATTTTTCAAAATTAGTCTATTAAAAATTATTTTGTTAAATATTTATAAGTTAATATAGTTTATATTTTCGAACATATAACAGAAACCTGTACTTGTAATACCCCAACGAGGAAGTATTTAAAAAAAGAAAGCACTAAAAAAGCGTCTCACTAGATGACAACTCTAGCAAAAGTTGATTTTTGCAGAAAACTAATGGACCAAAGATAGTCATTTCCGTTCCTTTTAATTAACATATTAAAAAGTTCGAAACTTAGATATTAATACAATTACGAAGAGCACAAATAGAATATGAGTTGTTTATTGAGTTTTGAAAACTAATTTACTAATTTATGAAAGAAAACCAGAAGGGTTGCCATGGAGAATCAAGAAAGTACTATAGCGACATCTAGTTTGATTTCGGGATTATTTTTTTTTAAATACCTCCTCATTTAATTTTGTGAGAGAAAGCTTTTTCCCGTGTTTTTTTGTTTAACCTGAACATCCGTAACTTGAAAGTTAGATAACAATACGGATATTCAGTGTTTTATATATATTCATTGTATTGCTGAATTTGGTAGAAAAACTTTGGTATTAGCTACCAGCAAGTACGCTATATTTTTTTTATAAAAACAGTTTATTGAATTTCTTTATTTTTTTAATAGTGATTTAACTTCATTGTTAAGGTCACTGTGCGCCTAGTCTCAATAAATTATCGAAGTTATCAAATTCAAACATGTAAAGACGACTATGACTTTTAATTTAAAACTAATGAACGTTTAATATTCGGGGTTGGAATTTCAGACATGTGAAAGCATTTTAAAATGTTCTTGGAATAGAACTCTTGTCTTATGAACATAGAACCGTCGTTACTTTTTTAAATTTTCAGTCCCAGGTAAGTAGTATGAGGTCGGCTTGCTTATGATTTTCAAGCGCTTTAGCAGGTCCTATAAAAAAGTGTTGGCTATCCCTTTATCACTTGCAGCCACCAGTCCGTCTTCTATATCGGTGATTCTCTTAGTGGTCCAGGTTGACCCCTAGGGGTCCACGAGGGATTCAACGGGGGTCTACGTTGGCGTGAAATAAAAATAGGGCGCCAATTTCCATCGTTAGATCTTCACATTTTGGTCGAATTTTGGGAATATGGTAAAAATGTAGCAGCAGGAGGTCCACCGAAATCAGTACATTTTTTAAAATCGTCTACGAGAAAAAATTGTTTGTTAAATTATATGACGCGCTTGTTTGTTGATGATTCCATCAGAATTATACTTTATTCTGAAGACACTCATTTCTCAGGTCATAACGAGGTTCTCTTACTTCTATATTATCTTCCATTGTATCATGGAACTACTCCGAGCCTCCGGTCCTGGGGGCCTCCTAATGGCTGCAGCCATCCGTCGAAATCATAATAATATAATAAAGTTCAAAATTTGATGCGAAATATAACGCAATATCAAGTTTCTGCCCCGGTTGAAAAAAGGGCTTATTGCCACCCCGATGAGGTTAGTCCGCCGCTGATCCCCGTTATTTGTATAAGTTTCGTACGTACACAAAGTGAGAAAGAAAGAGGTAACCGAAGATAAATCGATTGTGTGTAAACAAAAGAGAAGATATTTTGCTTGTTATGATCCAACAAGCAAAATTATCTTATTTGATTGAAGGTGCAAAATGTTTGAAGATTGAAGGTGTGGGTCAAAAGATCAAGTCTATATATAGAATCATGAATCTATAATCGAGTGCGATTATAGGTTGTGATCGAATCAAAATGATTCAAAGCAAATACTGCCAATTCCTCGTAGAAATTTTGCCTTTTTATAGTTCATGTGGAACTTCACCTGAATTGTTGTTGGAACTGTACGGTTTAGCACATAGACAGCAGTGTTTGTGAGCTCTGCCTATAAGTGTTCGTGGTAATCAGCCTAGAGAGCGTAGCATTGTTTTTACTATGTACTTTGATTGACTACAGTTCTATTTTGCGCATGCTCAAAACATTCATTTTGCTCCGGCGTGTGTAGTTTCTACCTTACTTCGTTGCCGAATTCTCCACTGTTGTCACTGAGGAGAGTTTTTAGGGTATGACCCGCTGATTTGTTACTTGTAACGTCTACTTAGATTTGACTTGCACTTCAGACTTTTTCGTAGGTAGTAAACCATACGGTAAGTTGAATATTCATTCTTAACAGTAGGTACGTAATACATGTACTTGTAACGACTGTTTGGGAAGCATCGTTGCAGTAATTCCATTTCCAACAATATTTTTACAGTTTCTTTTTTGTCTTCGAGATTTTGTTTGAATTTTTGACAATGAGTGTTGCTTATTTGTTATCATATCAGACTATGACTTAATTGAAAAGTCAAATGCGCAGTTTTTCAATTAGTATCAAAAAAATTTCCCATTTACACTTAGTACTAGCCGGAAAGGCCAAGTATATGTCATCAAAGGAATCTTGATTATTAACAAAATCTCAGGTAGATTATCTGTCAACAGTAGAATTTTCACGTTTCAAATGTTCTACAAATTCGACATATGGGTTGCTATGTTATCGTCTGGTTGGTACTGATAGCTGAAGACTTAACACGCGTTGTATGCAATGTTTTCAGAATAATCCGAATGAAGTCTGCAGTTTTTGTCGTGCTTCAATGGCTTTATATAAGCGCATTACTTTCTCTATGATAGCATTACTTACGTTGGTTGTTATAATTATGACAGTGCTGTGTAACTTATACTCTGTAACGCTTTCATTATGAGTAACCTTTTCAGCATCTCCTGCGACTTTCGGGATTCTCGGCTAGTGTGACTATTAGTCTTGACTTCCACAATATCAACCTTACCTAATATCCCGTCAACGAGTAAATTTATTTTTTACATTACCCAATCTACTTTTCCTTGCATGTGACCTGGTGGAGTGAGCTACAGATATAAGTTTCAATGGCAACATCAAACTCTAACACAAAGTTGTAATAACATTTCCAAAAACATCTTATTATTTATTTAGATAGTTATTTTGTTTAAAAATAACACTTAATGTTTTTCACTATTTTCACCAGATTATTTCTATTAGAATTTTTATACAAAACATGACATCTAGTCATCTTCTTCTTTTTTCTTTCAGTAAGAAACTGCCGTTTCTTGACAATATATGTTTCTTTTAGTAGGCCAGTAATACACAGACGACACGAATGAGGAAGTAATTCCTTTTAACTAACATATTAAAAAACTGAAATTTTCAGTCTGAAACTTAGATATCAATACAAATACGAAAAAGTATAAATAGAATATGAGTTGTTTATTGAGTTTTGAAAACTAATTTACTTGTATACATGGAAGGGTTGTGAATGGAGATGGAGAAAGCAACAAAGTTCCGTAGCGACATCTAGTTTGATTTCGGGAACTAATGTTTTTTTAATACTTCCTCATTGAGGTAGGGCAGAGTCATGGATATAAATATTGAACCTTTTCCTACAGCTTCACCTACGTCACCATTCGCTGTGGTAACAGTGTGGCGTTCATCAAAGTGTATTAAATCATAAAATAAGTCTTCACGCATCGTAACAAGGTGAGTAGCCCCGTTGTTTACATACTAAGATTCACGATCTAGACTACACTCTTCAAGGCTGCTAAAAATATTCATATTGGTACTCGTATTGCCTTCAGCTGAACTGATGTTATTGCAAACTTTTTGTTTCTTCTGAGCACAGTCCTTTCTGATGTGTCTT